CTGTAAGGCAAAGATATACACGATTCGCGCTCGAGTTCACAGACCGAGAAGGCAGAAAGCGCATCCCGTTTGCTTTCATTATTTTACAAAAGCGCGTTTTGTTGTTATTGTGAGTGCACATACATAAACATAAGGTCTTTACAGATTTGAAAGATTTATTACTCTTATCTGTATGACCAAAAATTACAGAGTAGACTATTTTAAGAGCAAGTGAGCGCACCGGCGCCTCCATCTGTCCTGCAGTGAGCGCTAATGTTCAGCTTCCACACAGACACTTGAATATAGCGCACATTTCTCTAGGTTAACATTAGATTGAGCGGCCATGTAAAGTTACTAATACTTACATATTTCAGATGATAAGACATATTTGTGGTGGATGATTGATAGGCGAGCGTTTGGATGTCCTGCCGGATGTACTGTATTACCATAGAGCAGCGATCTGCGTGATTTTGCCAATGTGGGTTTGTTTTTTCTGCGACTAAAAACTTTTGGTCGAACAAGCCTCTTCTGGTCAACTAACAATTAGTCGACTATTAGGGGGCAGCCCTAATATAGTGTATTTTATACAAATATAACAGATGTAAATGACAAAAACAAAGTTTAAGGCTGATGTCTCTTCATTTTCACAGAAGCAAAGCAGCAGATGTTATAAATAAAAACAGTTAGCAATGTCATTGAATAGAATATATTAAACGTTATTGAACGACATGGGCCTGATCCCATGGCCTGATCATTATATCCAAATACACACTCCCCAGCAAGCAATAGCCGTCATTTCAACGTCTCGGTTAAGTATAGACCCGCTATATTCCGGCTATAATGCACTCTACACCTCCATTATCACCTGCTGCAGAAGACGTAGAGATTGAATCCCTGTATCAAACTGTAATGCTGCAGCCATTTTCCATCCTTTACACTTACATTTAGTCATTTAGCAGACGCTTTTATCCAAAGAGACTTACAAATGAGGACAATGGAAGCAATCAAAATCAACAAAAGAGCAATGATATGCAAGTGCCATAACAAGTCTCAATTAGCTTAATGCAGTACACGTAGCAAGAGATTTTAAAATAAAATAATAAATAAATAAAAAAACCTAGAAAAAGAATAGAGCAAGCTAGTGTTACAGGTCTTTTTGCTTTGTTAACTGTATAATAAATGAAAAGAAAACGGATAGAATACAAAAAGATTAGAAAGAAAGTGTTTTTTTAAAGAATAAAATTAGAATAGAGAGTGCTAGAGTTAGAGGTTCAAATAAAGATGGACGAGATGCGTTTTTAGCCGCACTGTAAATAGGTTGCTGTAAATTTTACAGTAACTTACTGGCAGCTGGATGCCAGTAATTTACTGTAAAAAAATGTTTACATTATTGTTACTGTAATTGCATTTACAGTACAATAATGTATTTACTGTATTTTATTTACAGTATTATTACCATATTTTCATTTACAGTATTGTACTGTAGAGTTTATTTTCATTTAGTTAAAAAAAAA